ACGGGACGATTCGTCTTTTTCTGGCGGTACTCCCCCAGGAGATCCCTCCGCAGAGACCTGGGGTTTCTGGCCTCCTCTCCATCTGCCTCCCTTCGCCGTTGGCTCTGGCTGCATTCCACCTTTGTGTTCGCTTCCGCTGCCCTCGCGCCCCCCGCCATTTTCTTAATTTTTGACGGCATCCTATCGCGGCAAATTTTCAGAGGCAACTGGCGATCCGCCGGCCGGACCGCAATCCCCGGCCGTGACCCAACTCCGTGATTGGACGACGTCACCGGCAAAGGAGCACGCCCAGTTGCGCCGCCACTTAGGGGTAACAAATGGCAAGTACGTTAGCCGCTCGCACCAACCACCAGGGGGCAGCACAGGACACGATCACGCGATCTTGCCCGTGAGCAGTCTCCCAACTCATCTCTGCACGTAATTGCAGGAATCTGATATTCTCGACTGTCAAACAATTTTTGGTTGTAGAACTGATTCTTCCAAACTTCTCACCAGAAAGAAGACATTTCCATTCTTTCTAATTTCTTCGATTAAAAGAACGTGAAAATGCCAGACACAACGATGAATAATGACGACCCGTATGCCCATGTAGCAAAGGGTGCGTTAAAACTCAAGGGAGACGAATCTGTTGCTAAAAAGTAATTCCTTTTCACGTTATTTATTAATTCATTACTTCTAATACTAGGCATTCTAAGAACTAAATTAAAAATAAAAAAATTAAAAACTGTTAATTCCATTCTCAATAAATTGAGCAGTCCATTTCTATATTGTTATTGTTTAACGAGTAAATATAGTAGATTTTTGGTATCTATTCTCTTCTTTATCATGTTTTACTGTACATTAATTTTCTTTTAATATTTTTGCTTTGTTAGGAAAAAACGTAAGGACAAGAAGCAGAAGAAATTAGTCGAAGTATCGAAGATAATAGAAGAAGAGAAACCTCAAGTAGTGGAGATTAAACGAACTAAAGCTGAGTTAGCTTTTCAAAAAATGCAGGAGAAAATGGTAAGATATTTTACTTTCTGTTTATTTCAGAAGAAACATTCACATACTTTAAACTCATATTGATTTTATTAGATAGTTCTAGATTAGTACGTTTGCATTTAAATAAATTGATATATTTTTGTAGCAAACCGAGAGGATAAAACAAAAGGCCTCAATGACCCATAAGCAGCGAGTTGAACAATTTAACAGACATCTGGACAGCTTGACCGAACACTTTGACATACCTAAAGTTAGCTGGACGAAATAAATTACAGTTAAGAGAAGACTCCATCTATTTTATTGTAAAAATGTGTTATATAATTGCATTATAGTTGATATTGCAATGTACTTCTCCCTTATTTAGTTACACATCATTTAAGATCAATGATTTTGAACTGATATTTGTACCTCGATTTGTAGTATAATGAACAATTATGAGTACTAGATGAAACTGACCTCAGTAAAAGGTGTAATATTAACTTAATTTCTATGTGTAGAGTTAACAAAAATCTATAATGCTTAGTTATTTATGCAGGTTTTGGTCATAAGGTTTTTAAGAATGTTGCTCATGTCATTGTGATAAACCAGTTTTAACAATGAATGAATCAATCAATGGCATTGGTCTTGTTTAAAAATAAAAACAGTAAATATAATACAAAGTACGCTCTGTCTTTTAATTATTGTTATTGTATACAATGTACAAAATAATTCTATTCTCATGCAAGTCCTACAGCAAGAGCAAGATTCCTTCGGAAATGTTCGCACTTGGAATGTCACAGTTATAAACTACTTTTTGTTGAACTTAATAAAAAATAGTAGTTCCAAAACTTATACATCTCCTATATACTCGTAATAAAAATATAAAAACTTGTACTTATCTAAATAAAGTGGACGGAATGTGCTACAATTCTTAGTATATCATCAATACAGTCATAAGCTTTTACTGTATTATATATCAAATAAAGGATAACCAGAGAAGCTTCTATAAAATCAATTCTGGACTGTTGATATTCCCTTGCAGCTACAGGAAATATATTTATAAAATATATTGCCAAATAGATCTTTATAATACAACACATTTTGATCGTTGAATATAATTTTAAATCATACGTATAACAATAAAAGATGTATAATTGAATAAATGAAATATAAAAATAGATGCATATAGTTTGCTTCTCTGTGAAATCCTTTTGAGACAAATATTTCTTGCGACTGACTGTTCCTTCTAACACTGTGTCTACTAATACAACAATGCTTTTAATGGATCGACTATACAATTTTTTGGCGTCGAGACCATCCAAGTAAAATGAACTGCCGCGTACACGAGATAACTCGTAAAATTTAAAATCGCGTTTAAAGATACACGAGATATAAACAGAGGACAACGATCAAACCTGTTGATAAGGCACGAGGTTCAATCGAATTTCCGTAACTTCCATAGTGAAATATCTTGATGAAATTCTCACTTTGTAACCAAGGATTGCTGCCATCATCAAAGTACATAGGACATTGATCACGTTCACGTTCGTATTCCTATAAATAGTACCATATCGTAAATATCTATATTTTCTAATACATTGATGCTATTAAAAAATTATTTTACCTCCATTTCCAATGCGACAGCAGCTCCTTCCGTATAATTGCTACTTGTGACATCTTGTTTTAAGTCACAAAACGGTCCGATTGCTTGAGACATCAGTACCCTGTTTAAATCTGCTCTCTGATATACCCAACAACGATATTTACTGTAAGGGTCCAATTCATCATAAGTAATCAAGTAGGACTTCAGATTTTCTTTCCAAAAGCCGATACATTTCATTTTATAGTCCGGCAAACCTGTGTGGGAAGAAATAAGTATATTTTCGGTCAATAATGCATTAAATTTCAAGAGAGGTACACGTATCTCTGATATCTTTGATACACGCATCTGAATCTTCTGAGTTTATTTCACATGCACAAACTTACTGTAGATGTCTACTGGTTTTCCCAGGTAGTCCACCGAGAGACAATATGTCTCGTCAATTGCTATTTCTTTTTGATCTGTGTCGCATACAGAAAAATCTGAAATGTTCTGTTTACAATAAACATTGGGCCTAGGCGAAAGAGTTACCCCTCCTAAAATTCTAGTTTCAAAAAGTACATCTCCTTTCTGCTTAAACATATATTTTCCTGCTATTGGACACCTAACAGGTACAGGATGTTTTGCTGTAAAAAAAACCATTAATCATCTCTCAAGGCTTTCAAATATTATAATGATTCTTTAAGATTAAAATCAAGTCAAACTTACCAAGGAATAGATCGTACTTCCAATTGTCTTTATTGGGAAATTGTACCCAAGAACATACTGTAAAAAAATCGTCTTTGATCACAGCCATTCCGCGTCGATATCTTATAACATTGTGATGTTGAGGTACAAAATCAAAACATACATAATCCTTTTGACTATAAAAAATAATTCATTCTTATTAATTAACCAGCTCAAACAGTATAATGGTTTCATGAAATCAGTACAATCAAAGTTTCATACCATCCATCCACTGTTAATCGTGCCATCATTACTCTCGTATCTCGTTGTTCGCGGCATACATAAATCGTTCGTCTGTAACGGCCTTCATCTGGATACCAGGTTTCAATAATATGAGTCTCATTGATAAAAACATCAGCATCGATATTGGCAGTATTTATCCAATTCCCTGACATATTTCGTGGCAAACGACAGCCTGGCTCTACTACTTCAGCTTTTACAGGCGTCACTCTCAAACGCTCAGGACTCTTCTCAACTGTCTTTAATGTATTACATTCTGCAGTAATTGATACACCGATATATAAATCATCGTCACGATTCTTTAAGAAGCACCGATATTTTTCATCTTTTCTAGACTCCTTTGTATTTGCCACCGCAAAGAAATGATTTTTGTCAACAAACCAATCACCAAGACAACTGTACTCTACCACTATTGACACAAAAATATATAAAATTATCACATCAAAATAAATGATGATCAAAATCCATAATCAGAAATATTATAATTAATTTGTACTCACAGCCATCAAAAGTTCCCTTCATGCCAGAGCATTTCTTGTATGTAATGTTGAACTTTTGATTAGTTATAAGAAACTGAGTGCCTGCAGTTTGACACGAACGTATCTGCGCATCTGGATTATCACATTCACCAGTAAATCTAAACCGATTCTGTAATATCAAACGATAGATTTTACATACATAATATGGAATATTAATATACAATTTTAATCAATGGAAAATGTTTATTCATATAGTTCTTACCTGGTAAGCAAACTGCCATACTCCTTCCAAAGAAGATCTACAATTGACTGGATGATAGTTCTCGGAAAATAACGTAACTAACTGCTGATCTGGACGTAACCCAGCACATACATTCTCAACAGTTGGTGGCATACCACGAGGTAAATTTATACAGCTCACTATAAATTAACGTCCAAATATATGCATGATTACAAAAATTAAAAAAGCATTAATTCAGCATAACATTCATTAAAAATACATACTTTCCAGTTTTTCCAATACATTAACAGTCCTGACAATAAGTTTCACACAATGATAGCATACATCTCTTTGAAATACAAACGTATAATTGACATGGAAGTCTTCTTTCATATCTAGGCAATATCCTCTATTAGTCATGGATTCTGCATTTAGTTCAGTCAACGTATTATGCCCATTTTCCCATGAGAACCATGATCCTCTCAAAATCAGAGGAATCGTACAGGAATCTCTGTCTTGCAGGGACGTCGAGACTGAAATGAACATTATATTTATAACATGTAGCAAGTTTATTTCTTAATCGAAGAATGGATTATATTAAATTTATCTTATAATAAATGGATACTAAATAAATACATATAATTTAGCTTTGACAGAAAAACTATGAATGAGTAATGCAACGTATAAGTAATGAGTAATCAACTATTTTACAGGTTAAAACAATCCTTACCACAAAATACTATTAAGTAAAACAATCGTATAAAAATCACTAATCGATCCATGTTTCGAGATTCAGAGATAACGGCAAAAGCACTACAGAATTTAACATCGGCCCAAACAAAAACAGAAATTAGTGCAACTGGTAATTTAATGAGAACCCAGCCCAAGAATTTGCCGTCTCAAGCCGATATTTCAACAGGCTACAACGACAAACGACGGGCGACAAAGCATAAACAAGAGGTTTATATTGGCTGCAGAAAACGTACGGCAGAAGTTCCCCCATTGCGCTCTTTTCTGCAGCCAATCAAAATCTCTTATTCGCTCCATCGCGCAACGCCGTCGATGAATAAATATCGGCTTAGCAGCGCCATCTGACGTGACATCGACATGACGATGGCGGTAACTTTAAACGTTTGTAAAAAATCCTCCCCAAACACCCCTTCGATGTTAAATAATCTTTTTAAATTAATTTTCTCATAAAACATACTCTGAAATAAAATCATTTTAAATAATTAAAATTAATGTGTCAATGCGGTTAAATGAGAGTATTAATGTTCCAAAAGTGGGTGGCATGTAATTTCAGATTAGATAATATGATATTCTACCACGTCGTGCTGTCCGATGGATTAAACAATGGCGAAATGACGCTTCAAGGACGACTGCTTAATTGTTGGAAAATGTAGAACTTATTACTCACCACCAGATGACATTGCAGTAGTTTATCAAGTTTGACAGCAAATTTCCATGATAAAAAAAATCTCAATAACCGTTATTTAAAAATCTTATAAGACTTGAATAAAACTAAAATTCATTTTTAGGAAATGAATTTCGGGAGGTCCAAGAAAACTTCGATAAACTTTCTTTATTCCTTAAATAATTCTAAGGACAGTTTATTACCGAAAGTATTGAGTTCATCCATGGGCTGAATTGTGAATTGCGCATATCCAATGAATTAAATTAATCTGGTAATTTTTCCCATTTCATTCATTTCTTCTCCGGCACCACTTCACTTATACCATACATTCCCGCTAGCAGCCTACCATGCGTGATTGGCACTGGGTCTTTCGGCGGCAAATAGGGACCCTTATCGCCCATGTAGACATAACTAAATTCAAGTTAAGAAAAGAGGCCACAGTAAAAACCCAAATATCATTAAAAAAAAACAATATCGCATAATTAAACAATTGTACAACTATGGCAATGTAAGGATACGGTAAACGCAGTACCCAGTAGGCACTTTGAGAGAGTTTGATAGGCTCTTCGCATCCTGTAACGAAAATTGGACAGGGCGGTGGACCAGGCTGTACTCGTGGATTCAGAGTGACGTGAACCGGAGCTTTCGGCGTTACCACGTGGATCCTCATTAGCTGTGCCATCAACGGCTTGGGCTGCCTAAAACCCAACTCGATGTCATCGTGATATAGGCCTGATATAAAATTATTTACTATTCAAACTACGCATATCATCAAACCTGCAGGGACAAGGGAAGTATAAAGGCATATCCGCGGTGCTGGACGTGACCTTGTTGCCGCTATCCTTGACAATGCCGTTTCCAGTGGCCTTCAGAACTTTGTCCGGGGCCGAGGCCATGAATCTGTGCCCTCGAGGACATTCGTACTCAACGCCGACGAATATCTTGACGACGAATTCCTTGCCACCCTTGGATTTTCGTCCTCGGACAGTATTGGCATTCTGGAAGCTCTTACCTCTCGCACAGTATCCATGTGTGTTGTGTTCGCCCATTGTTGGCCAAAGAGAACCCCTTTCCTTTTGATGTTCCAATCTAGGATTTCATAAATAATAATAAACGTAACAGCAATGATTCACGTAACGGATTAACTTAAATGGGGGATCATTAGTAATCATTACCGCAGAAATCTTGACGTACCTGACGGTTACGTCCCATGGCAATAGGAAGGCCGAGGTCGCGAGAACTCCGGCCTGGTGCTGTAGTCCTAGATTATGAGAATAGAGACTGCTAGGCCCGAGACAGACGAGCGACCAGCTAGAGAATCTGGGCAGCAAACCCGATGGCGACTCGGTGTGTAACATGCCCGGGAGATACTCCGTCGTTGACGGCTGCCTCACCAGGGGTTTCTCTACCGAAGGTTTTGTCGCTGACTTAATTTAAACGATTCTTGATATTAGGTTGATGCATAAGTAATGACGTTTTTAACACGTAACGTAACGTATAAAAAAAACGCCATTATTTATGCATCAACGCATTAGAAAAGGCCCGATTCTCGGTGTAAAGATGTACCTTTGTTATCCGTATCGGCATCAGAGACTCGAATCACGACCTTATGGGCTTCGCTAAGCGTTGGACTAGCCTTTTCGTCTTCTACGGTTGGGTCACTAGTTGGCTGCGATTGTTCTCCACTCTCATATGTCGTTATGTCGTCTTCAGTCGAAGATCAGCGATCAAACAAAACCAAATAACGCATTAGATTTTATCTTCCGGATGGAAGGATTTTTACTGTCCCATCGTTCATAGTAAGGATTTGAGAATGACATTGCCACTCATCAATTCATCGACGTCTCCCTTCACATGTCTTAAAGTTAGTGTAACGGATTTTCTTAAAAACGTCTTGCCACTAAACAATCTGGGCCAGAAACTATCATTCGCTAATGAAGCGTTCATTAATAAAACCAATAATCCTTTGCACTTTTTTCAGATAATAGACAACTACGCAGGTGAGAAAATCGTAACAAAGTATTTTCAGACACAATATGGTACCTCAGAAAGTACATGCATTTACCATGCAGAGTGCTGACGGGTCCAACTCCGCCCAAGCTGCAGGCCTGCTGCGTTTGACCCTGTGGAGTCCACAATTCTCCTCGAGAAAGCGAGTCCTTTCGTCTGGTGGCAGAGAACAGTTGGGCCGCCCTGGAAAAATCCCCTTTTGTAGAACCTAAACGACAAGAAGCGACTGCTTTCCCGAATGCCTACCTGAAGTTATGAGTGCTTGGTTGGAAAATCGGGAACTGTATGCTTTCCAGCTGAGCACAACCGCACTGCTTAGCCAGCATTTGGAAGTAATCGTAGTTGGCCTGTTTCAAACTGAACGGATCATCCCGTGGTCCCTGACATCTACCGCAATTGCAAGCGCAGACATAACGCACGCCACTGCAGTGCTCCATAACCGGAAGTTCACTAAACATTATTTCGAATAAACATCATTTAATTAGCATCGCTGACACTGTGGAATTCATGTATCGCCTATTAGTATCCGTACCTATCCTCGTCTCCAGGTTCCACTTGTTCTCCACCACCTGCCCCTTCACTACCGCCTTTATGAATAGGATTCGTGCAAGGATTTCCTGTTAGCGATAGAACCTCGCACATTCGTCTACCAGCTCTCCAGTGTTTTTCACACTCGGACTGTAATTTTTCGCTGAACTCCTCGAAAAGGGGTCCTCTCGCGTGCATCTCAAAGACAGCCATTGCATGAGCCAGTTTGTTCTCATGATAAGCCCTTCATTCAAATTTTATTTCACATGAATACAAATACAATGAAGCTCGAAATACCAGAAAACTGATTATATTTGTTTATTATTACCTTGTGTAGTGCTGCGGAAGGTTGTCCTGATAGGTTTGCAAGGCTCGGGGTAGTACTTTACCACACCTACTTCTACTGAATTTGACATCAGTGTCCAACAACCCATGTAGAGCAGACACTTCCTTGTCGACTCCTCGCACGAAAAAATTGAAAATCTTGTTTGCTGCTTCGAAAAACAATGACAACGTAGGTATCTAATGGAAAAAATAAATATTACTACCTTGAGAATAATAATTTAAGGAGTTAATCAATAAATAAATACCTCAAAGTGTGCAGGAAGCGAGTGCCGTCCTACATTATCGTCAAAGCCCCTGGCAAACGCCAAGTTTACATGTTGGCGGAGAAAATTTCCAAAAGAACGGCCCTCTTAAGAGAAAATTAATCATATATAGGGATTGGAATAAAAACGACGGAAGGTGGAGACATTTATGTCTTACCTGTATCAGAATCATGGACTAGATTTGAATCGAGACTGGCAAGACTTCTCGAAGCAGTGCTACCAGATCCAATTTTACAACTTTGTATTAGTTGTTTCGTTGTACGTCCTAAAGTATCTCTTGACCCCAATGAGTCAGTATGTACATATACAAATTCTTGATTGGCCGGAATCGCAAATAAGGAATTTGAACTACATATGCATCAATTATTCATTAGAATTTACATAGTTATTTGCCATAAATGTCTGTGAATGTTTTCCATCACCTGATGTTTGTCACAATGCGGTTTTTCCTAAGTACATTATATATCTGATCTTCGAGAGAATGTTCCAGCCTTTTAACTTTGGCTCCACTCTCTGGGTCATGAAATACTCCTGGACAGGATTCAAAATAAAACAATACTCTGGGTGGGCAAGGTCTTGCATTCGCTATCCAATCTTTAGGTAAGTTAGGAATATGACTAAGTATTTCGGAAAGTTGAGCAGATGTTTTCTGCCTATTGAAGAAAAATATCACAATCATATTTAGGATTTACATACTTAAGATAAATTCAATGAAATATCCTTACCTTACTAATTCTAAAGCTCTAAATAAATGTATATAACTGTAATCAAAGGTATGTACAGGATGTGTCAATACGACCACGTGTGACATATGAAATAGAACAAGTAATGCTCGCGCATATCTGTCACGCATGTGTGCCCACATGCTGAGAAAATCTTTCTCTTCCTGTTTCTCCATAAAGCGGTCATATTCATTGACGATAGCATAAGCATCCAAAAGTCCTCTGAGATGTAAAAATACCATCCGTTCCTTTACATTATGGTATCCTTCCAATTCGCACTACAAGCGTACAAAGGTATTAGTTCTCAATTCATTCAAAATATGAAAAGAAATCATTTAATAATAAATAGCCACCCATGTCTCATCTTCTAAAGTTGGTTCTTCTAAAAGATCTGGTTGGAGTACCGAGCTTAGTATTTCAGTTTTGTATCCTTTAGCAAAGAAATGAGATTTCCCAAATATTGAAACAATTATAACTTTCTTATCTGCATGTATGGAGCTAAAAAAATTAAAGTATACAATCATTAAATAGTTTACTTTTTCACTATAATCAGACAGACATAATATATGAAATCAATAAATAACTTTTATAAACATAAATAACTGTATACATATATGCTTATTTCTATTGAAGATTAAATTGTGTCAGTTGTTACCTGTCCCCAAGAAAAGGAAGCCTAAACTTTCTAGGGCGCATTGTAAGATACAAATAATTAATAATTAAACAAATAATATAAAATATATTAGGTTATATCTAAATAGTATCTCATTTAACACAGAGATGGCTCATCTCTGTTTAACAGAACCGCTTATGTGCATACATAACCTAACCACAATTACTCGGAGCAAGTGACATGAGTTTACTTTCTGAGAATTGATATGAATTTATGAATATACATGTATGTACACTCTGTACAAGAGATGGCGCTGGATCATTCAGGAACATTCCCCTGAAATATATCCAGTAAACCGAACATTCCTAAAATAATGTACTAGGTTTTACAAATAACCACAGCAGAAAAGACACTAGCATCGTTTTTTGAGACATTTCTGCACATATGAATCATTCCCATTTCCATCATCTTTGGCTAATTAAAAATATTACATTTTATTACATTCATTTAAAATATCCCTAATGGGTCCTTAATGCCTTCGTCCATAGGGCAGATGAAAATGCAAGTGTGAAAAAAATTCGGCGGAGGATAAACAGCCTGAGAACTTGTTGAAAATAACACAATCCCCCTCAAAAATCGATGCAATCCTCTGTATTTCCCCTGAAAAAAATCGCACAACTCAATTTAAACGTAAGAACTCTGAAAGTTAAATCTCGTTGAAACGTATTTAGCTCGAAGTTCTACCCAGTTTTTTTTATTAATGTACTTAAAATAGTTAATTTAACTACCTTTCATTCAGTGATAAAAGTAATACTACATTTATTTCAAATCAATCATTAATGAACATAACATTACTTAGCAATTGCAATAGTAACATTCGTGTAAAAAAAATGTAAAAAGTTTAATTAGTTTAACTCCCGAATAAAAAAAGAGTCATCATGAATACATGATATACCCTGCATTTTTTTATTTATTCAATTTAATTTCAGGTAGAGAAACCATAATATGGCAATAAAAACGGTTCCTATTAACTACTTGCAATACATTTTCTTCACAGGATCAATTTTTTTGTATATACATATTCCAAAACTGCATATATTTCAATCGACGATATAATAATCATTTAATACGTCCCTCTGCGAACTGTCCCGAAACGAGCATCTCGAATGTACATACCGTACATCATAAGCAACTCTCATGGTCGTCAATACAAACTATTATACAAATAAAATCCATTTGATCTCGACTAAGCGGCAATTGTGAATCATGCTTCACCCAAAGGTTTCAACGCACCGACACCGCGACCGCATTATATACACATGGTACAGAAATAGAAACAATCCGATCTCGGACAGCGATTTCAGACTCGCACCAGCATACAGTGCCGGTCACAAAACGCTTTTCTAGTCGAAACTCCTTGATACGCGCTCGCTGAAGGATAGTCGAACACCTAATGAGCTATTCAATAGGCTCTAGATGCGAGGGAGTACCGAGAGCTGATAGGATTGCAGGTAACAACGGCATCCCCACGCGTTCCATCCGGACATGTACAGACAGCGATGTGACGTCTAGGGGAACACGTGGCTGTCGGGCCACATTCGCGGCCGGTGCAAGGATTCTGGCAAGTATAATCTATGCAGGCGCGGTTGTCAGGACACTCGTTGTCAGTCAGGCACTCTCCTCGTTGACAGCTGACCAGGGCGTTCCCGAGGTACCCAGTGGGGCAAGTGCACACGGGCCTCTCTTTTCCGGTGTTGTCGTGACCCGGAGTGCATTTGGCATTGGCTCCGCAAGGATTGGGTTCACAGAGATCACCTAAAAGAGACATCACCCAGGATCAGTTTTGTTCCAGGGGACGCTACAATCTAAACGATAGCACGATTGATACTAACGAGGCTCGAAGGGTCTACAGCTGACGAAGGGGTTCCCGGTCATGTCCCTGGGACAACTGCACACAGGAGTAATACCTCTCAGCTCGCAGTTTGCGTTGATCCCACAGACACCGTCACAAGGATTCACGCATCTCTGGTAGAGACACGCAGGCTTGCCGCGAGGACACTCGCCATGGCTGCTACACTCCGGTCGGCAGCTTACGTATGGACTTCCCAGCCAATTCTGGGAGAAAAAAGGACGAAATATGAGCAATTCGGTAATCGATTTACGGACCCTTCAGTCAAAACGCTCGAAAAATAAAGTTTTCGTAAGTCAATGATAAAAAACATTAAGTTCTTCAGTAATATATATTTAAATAATTAAAAAGAAATTAGTTTAATTTAATATATTTTGGCCTGAAATATAAAACCACCATTATGTCACTAAAGAAATTATATCTTTTGATGGACGCCATCAGATTTCAAAGGATGATTTGAAATAATAAAAATAATGTTATAATATATGTAAATGGTTATCACTTTATCTAACCCTAATGTGAAAAATAATCGAGCGATTTTAAACAAAATGTTTAACAAAAGACATTTGTTATTCTGCGTTAAAATCTGCGTTAAAAATTGCCAAATTATTTTCCGTATTCCAAATTTTGAATGTGCCAGGACAATTCTTAGATGATCTGGAGTGATGTGTCAAAGTTTCGAACAGTTTGGTCTAATACCCTTAAAAAAAAAGTGTTGCATTCGAATCGACTGATTTCAAGAGAATTTCACTTCACTTTAAATCCTAACTCTATGTAGTTGCGGACTTACATTCGGGCAAGTGCATTTGGCACGGTGTCCGATGACTTCGCAATTGGCGTTCTCGCCGCATTTGCAAGGACTCTCGCAGCGGAAGTTGCTCGAGCAGGCTAAGTGATTCGAACAGTCGGAGTCGCTTTCACACTCGTGGCGACATCCCGTCAGCGGGGATCCCCTGTACCCGGAGAGACACGTGCAAACCGGCACCTCGTTGACTACGTCGCATTTCGTGTTTTGTCCGCATGGACTCGGCTTGCAGGCTGCCTCTAGAAGGTCAGATAATCATTAATTTAGTATCGCCTTCTTGTTCAAGTTTCTACGGCGTCCTTGGATATAACAAGAGCCGAAGAAGGCGAAGAATTAGAGGAAAGACTCGACGACTTACGAGGATCGGCAACCCGGCACGCGCTGAAGGGATCGCCCGTGTAACCAGGAAGACAAGAACAGATCGGGACGTGATTCCTAGTTTCGCATTTGGCGTTGATCCCACAGGAACCGGCGCACGGGTCGACGCATTTATTGTTCACGCAGGCCCTGCTGCCGCTGCAGTCGTCGTCAACTAAAAAAACATCCAACGAATCATGAATCCCGACTCGCAGAGAATGTATAGCGACAATTATCGATTTCAAAACCTCGGTTCCAAAAAACGAGGAAGCTTCTCTTTTTTTCTCCAAGCCATAACGTTCAATGGAAAGTCAGCTCGTAAGAGCAACTCCCCAGAAGGCAATCGCCACACTTTCGGACGATACGCCGTTCTCCCGTGAATTCATTTCGGTTCTTTTTTAGTCCCCTGCAAGAAAGTGGGGATAAATTCTTTCGTAGAAAAAACATCTTGCCAAAAAAAAATATATCCCCCAAGCGTTTTCTCCTCGAAACGACAATTTGCTACCTCGGTCGTATAGAAAGTGAAATTCTTTCGCAGAAATATTGCAAAACGTTGAACCAAAATTGCTTTCTCGACTTTTGAAACTTTTATGAGCTCGCTTTGGAACGAAAAGGATTTCAGACATTTTCTTTCCATAGCTTACTTTTCCGAAGTAGGTGTTATTTCTTTAAGGTGAAGTGAAACACGTCGGGAAACTTGAACGACGTCGGTAAAAGAGGTTTTTCTAAATATCTACATTGCCGACGTTCTTTTTTATATTGACAGCTGTGTCGAATAATGTTGAGTATTGTACATACTCCATCTGTCGTATTCGTACAATAATTATAAAGAAATCCCCTGGTATTCATGATTTCTGAGACCCTAATTGACTGCAGAGTAACCCCCTGCGCCATCTGTGATATCCATGTCGAATAAATTTTCACTACGAGACCTCATATTACCATTGTTTTAGCATACAAGCGCATAAGACACTTTATTGCCTTTATCCCGTTCAAATGCGAGTTTCTCGATTACCCGAGTATTCTAAATTGTCGTACAATTGTCCTGATCCCTTCATTTCTCATATCAGAGCCTTCATTAATTGGATATCAATCGAAATATGAGAACTCGACACTATTTCGGCTCCGGTCTGGGCTGTTAAAAATTTTTTTTTGAAAATTCAAATTTTGAAAGTATCAGGATAATTCCAAGGTGCTCACGAGTCACGTGTCAAAGTTTCAGACATTTCTATCCAGGGAGTCTATTACGTAAAGCAAATTAAACGAAAATATGAAAAATGAGTAGTTTACGGTATTACGGAACGTTTTTGGCGGTGAAAATGCGAGACCATTCATATGAAAAGGCTCGCCACACATTTTTAAGCGAGATGGTGAAGCATACAAGAAAAGTTAGAAAAATAAGCGCCATGAACGCCATCTTCAACGAATTGCGACACCGAAATTCAAAACGGAAAACCTCCTGGGCGTTTTTATTTTTGGCAATAATCGTATTCGAGGACATAATAATAACCTTATTAAAAGAAGAAGGGAATTACGTGATGCCTCAGATCCATTTCCATTAGAAAAAAGAGAATATACTAGAATGTACAGGTTAGTATTTGTTATTGCGAGGTAATATTACATTATTAAACATTAAAAACTGTTAAATAATTCATGCTTACATGACATGATAAGAAGATTATATTGTTGAACTTCTAATTATAGTACATGTAAACATGAATGAAATACATATTTAAAAAGATATAGATAGACTCGAGTCCTCTTCTTTACTTTTAACGGCTTTCCATCTTCCCGCCTTTCCTGCCTATAACCCACTACCTCTCAACAATTTTCGATTTACAAGATATGTACCTTTACTTGCAATATTACTAGATCGTAAGTGCTAGTGATCTCGTTCTTTCATATAGTGAATACGTAATTCGGTGACTAAACACGCGTGAGATGAAAGTGCGAGAAGTGAGCATTCTCGTCAAAAATACGTAATAAACGCCCAGTACCCTTAAAACAAAAGTCTTATTTAATCGACTGATTTGAGGGGGTTTCACTTCACCTCAAGTATTTCTTTATTATATTAGATTACTGATTTCTTTTAAAATTCCTTTCTTTTTTACTCACTCAAACACTCGACGCGGACGCAGCGGACGAGGGGATCTCCCATGTGAAGGTTCAGGCAGGAGCACACCGGGCGACCCTCACTTATGGTGCATTTCGCGTTGGTTCCGCATGTGTAGGTGTCGCATCCACCTACGGACGAATTTCGTAATGCCGAGATTACTCGTCGGTTGGCTCTACCAAGACTTACCTAGAAACCTATACTTGTGACGGCATCGAGGCCAGTCGTAGACTTTGACGCTCGCATAACCAACGCACGGGCCTTAACCTGTTCCGCTGCTTAACCAGTTGGTCGAATCTTTTTCGTCTTTTCTTCCCCCCCGCAATTACTGATACGGAAGTCGGAAAGGGACTTCCGAATTTCAAAGCACTGGAGCTCCTCCCGTTTCATTTTTTTTTTATCCACCCCGTTCACATCGAAGCCCATGGATTTCCGTTCTCTTGCCAATTACGATACATCGAATTATACAACTATGCGGAAATTCCCTGACATGCCGCAAATCCACACAGGAAGCAAACCTGCGCGACAAAATTCCCAGGGGACATTTAAGAAAATGAAAAACCTCGTGAAATTGGGAATTGTCGGTGAGGATGCTTGAAAAGTCTAAAACATGCCCCATAACTGTAGGAATTTGATAAAATCCACAGGTATCCACGTAAAAAAATGAGCATCTATTATGAAATGTTACGTTTCTTTTGTTCATTCCAACTCCAGCTTGCAAAAATGTACGTTCATTCCAGGGCTTTGCGCTTATTTTCTCTTTCTTTTCCATTATCCACTTTTTCTTTCAGGTACGAAAGGCTCAATAAAAATCCCACATTAATATTCAGCAAACTAGTCCACAGGAGTGAGGAACGAAGCGTTACAACCCCCGCAACGAGTACAGGTAAACGCCTTGAGAATCGCAACGCGACGTGCCGGAAACCGGCGAAGCATTGCGCGAGTCCTCTCTCATTATCATCCACGACAGCAATTCCAACACCCATTGTTCATCCACGTCCTCGAAGGAGCCCCTTAATACCTGGAATTAATCGTCAAACCAGATGCTCCATTCTCCAGTGGGCTTCGATTAAACTTACAGTACGTACCCAAAGACACCGGGAGGATAACTTCAATACTCTAATATAAAGTACCCTCTACCCTAAGCACGTCTAACTCACCAGAGGACAAGACCCTAGATCGGATGTACTGAGCGTTCCCCAGGCCAAGGACGAGGGCGAGGGCGAGGGCCCTCCGCAGAGCTGCCGTCTGCGAGCACATCATCCTGTCTCCTCGACGTCTGGTCCTCGGTGCAGGCAATGGTCCAGGGGCGAGCCGGCCGGCACGCAGAGGATCCTTTCCGTCTCCCGGTGAACTCCGCACTCGGCAGGGGTACCGCGCAAACTGGACTGGTCACGGCGGAACGAAAGCGAGCAAGTTAAAAAGTGGCCGCTCGCTCGACCGATCTCGGCCGGCCCCACCTACGGCACCCATGGCACCTACGGGGCAACCTTCGTCCCCGCTCGACACGGGCCCGAACGGGCCCACGCGCGACCCTGGGCCGCAGCCCCCGCTCGCGCGGAACTCGCGGCGCTCTTTCGAGGACCGGCCCGGCGACGACCGCGGGCCTCCAGGACCATCCGAGGACTCGCCCACGCGGCGCCGTATCCGCGATCGACGCGATCGCGGCCTTAATTGGTCCCCTGCGGTCCGCCAGCCTTGCCTCGGCCGACCTCGCGGGCATAACGCACGTAACCGAGGACCCAGCCGGTGGATCTCGTCCTCGTTGCGCAATCGGGCACGGCGTCGACTTTCTCCGCGAATCGGTCGTCAAACCGAGTCATCCGGGAGGTCCGCTCCTCTCGAAGCGATGGATGGTCCTCTTCTCCCTGGCGGCCCGGCGCGTTCCCCGCTGCTCGCCTCTGCCTCCCGGGTGAGACGTCCTTCTCCTCGCCGCTGCTATCAGTGCTCGCATTGACCTCCGCTTTCGGCGCGTTCGCGGCTCCCCGGATGAAAAATCCCCCTTCGATCGCCGATCGGCGTTGGAAAGGAAAATGCACCGTAGAAAGCGAATTCCCCTCCTCGGGGGCGTCCACGCCCCCTTCTATGATTCACGAAGGCGCCACCTCCCGGATCCGCGACCCGGAGATACCGGGAGGTGTTCCACCAGTCGGAAAGGAGCTCTCCTTTTAGGGCTCGCCTAATAACGCTGCGTCGATACGCGAGTCCGAAAGACCCCCTTGGTTTTTTTTTCCCTTTTTTCGACCTTCGCCGGAACAACGATTGTCTCTTAAAGTCGTTCGATCCTCGCGTCGCCCGTCACGGATTTCGAGTTTACAGATTCCTGGACTCGGGCTGTTATCGGCCCACGCGGAGAGTCCCGGTGGATGACGCAGGCGACGCTTTTCGCTTACTGAGGAGGTGTAAATCATTGGCGTTTTAACTGCCCGTGACCGGGAAATACAGCATTCGTAAACAAGACGAGGCCACTAGGAACCACGATTTTTCAGATTCGCGTCAATAATCGTTTGTATCGACGCGGTGAGACCCTCGGTGGGAAACTTTCCATAGACCTCTGGTCCTCAGAAAAATCTATCTGGCGGATTTGGTATCGCTCACGCGCGATAAAGTGTCATATGTACCAACAGATCCTAAAGAACGATCCAAAAGCGCGACTTTCTTGGACTACTCTTTACTGTATTTTCATTTATACTCCATTTCGAATGTTCCACGAATCGTGATCAGTTCTTGAGAGGGTAACAGACGGAGGTCGAAAAGTTATTTCGGGAAGTATGAGTAACCCTGGCAAAGCGACCTCGAGGACTTGAATTCGATTTCTTTTTAATCCTTCTGACATCTCTCGAATCAGCTCAAGTAAAAGCATGATATTTCTTTTCTTACGATAGTCCGATTTTATCCGAGGCGACTCAGACTTAACACTTTACCTACCGGGAGAATAGGCATTTCTATAGTACTTATTAACCGGTAGCCCATTAATTGGTGTAATTCTTTTTTTTAGCAACGCTTATTAATCGACTCCCTTCGAAAGCTGCTAGAAGCGTTAAACAAAATAAAGCCAGCATTGTCGGGGAATCCGCACTGAAATTAATTATTCTGTTCTAAACGTTCATTTAATTCAAAAAAGGTAGGTAAAATGTTAACTGCGGTAACCGCAGTACGAGGGATACAACTCCGGAGCGTCTACATAGCCAAGATGACGTCCTTAATTGCTCGTTCGTGTTATAACATTTTGTCGGAAATCTATTACTGATACGCCCTTGACTCTGAATTCCAATGAGCACCGTCGTCATCGCTCGGCCTCGCGATTCTCTTCAAAGTCGCGCGACGTTCGATTCCCCTTTCGATTCATCTCAACACGTGCTCACATCCGACTCCACGTATTTCGCCAACCATTCCGGTAGATCGTAAATTGTCTCGATATCCCTATCAGATTCCTCGCCTTATAACCATTCACCCACCGAGACGTAAAGTCCGGTACTCGTTTAACCCTCAATGAAGAAAGAATGATCGAAGCACGGATTAATACGGAAACACGCGTGACACTTTCTTTTTCCCAGTTCTAACGCAACAACGACAAAAACCAACAGCTACTCAAGTACAATGGCTAACGGTGCTTGTAATCAGAGGTCGACCCTCGTACTTCGGTCCTGCAAGATGTGCAAAATATATTCGATGTCGGATGGCGATTAGTCGTCGTCGAAGACCCATTAAAAAGAAATTAATGGAATAGTAAAAAGAAAAAATAGAAGCTGCAATGATTCGTGAAATTGAACGGCGGGCCTGGGTCACGAGCACTTCGGTCGATTCCCTGAAAGGGAGAAACCAAATTCGACCAAGCTTCGAGTATGTGCGAATGTACCGGAAAACAAAAAAAAAATGAATGACGTCTAACGGGCTTTATTGCGAGTAAATTACTTCGTTTCGTATAAAATTAGCGTTACCTGCTACGCTCCGGCACTATGTCCAGCTCTACCCTCGGTCATCGAAACGACACGTCGCCCCGATTTAAATGCAATCCAATGGTAATCCCCTGACTAACGTTCATGTCCTAGTCTAAATTTCGACAGAGAGACTATATATAAATATATATTACGCTCGGCGGAGTGTGAACCGTACCGACGAACGCGCTTTCCTTGATCGGTTCTTTAAAAGTGCTCGCCTATTGAGAGGAGAGTATTATGCGCCTCGTTAGTTTTCTGTATCGATGTGTATCCGATGTCGAATACGTAACTCCGTGATTACTTTCGTTCGTTTACCGACGCACTTTGTCGTCGCTCTGGTTCGGGGCGAGTTTGAGAAACTCTTCGTAAGCAGCGGCTATGATAGCGTCCTCGTCGGAATTCCCTTCCTCGTCGCCGTCAGCCAAATCCGGTTCTCTGCAGAGAAATTGATAAGCGATCGGTGAATATACGGCTCTCAACATGCTGCCATTTCACGAAATTAATACTAAGGATCGTTTGAAACTCCACATACGTATATTTGAACCTAAGGGTTCTAATTGGCCCTCAGGATCTGCGACAGACCGATAGAGACAATGATCTCTCTAATCAGAGATGGGTAATGATGCGTCATTCGAGGCTTCCGACGTGTATTACATAAGTCGAGTAATTTACCATAAATAGAAGAATCATAGAAGATCAATAAATTACGAATGAAATATGACGGAAACCGCAGATGTATATCATGCGGTATCTGCCAGGGTATTAACGTGTTTTAGCACACATGTAAATGCATAAATACTTGTAATGAATAATTGAATTCACGCTCGTGTTTAAAATGCCTTGGACGTAACACCATTTGGTATTAAGTTTCTGACTGAATTTATTATTTTCTATTGAGGAATATCTGTCAGAACGGTATACGAGCAACGATATGTATGTATATTACACGTAGCAATGAATTTTTTATTCCAATTAAAAAAAAACCTTTGTATGTATAACTTGGTGCTATCGACAATGTATATATGCATACGTTTCAAATTTCCAAGGCTGACTTCAAATGTGCGCAGAATTGCGAAACACATAACACGCAACCTCGTTAATCACCAATAAGAATCTCCCTTAGAACCAAATAGGTGAACTTTCATGGGCTAATAACGATATTACACATGCGCTTTCCACGTTTTAATTCATAACGTAATATACTTCGCGCTAGGAAACTAGGGACGTATCATACATTGTAATATACATGCGGTGAACCACGTATATCACATGATGTATACCTAACCAGCCCTGGCTCCGAATGGACATATGAAGGTCTATATGACGGTTCTCTAAACCTGCATCTAATACTAATGAGAAACTAAATTGTAGATAAATTAATATGAAAAGAAGATTTGGGATTCTGGAGAGGGATCTTGTTGGGAATAAATTAAGGAACCAGACTGACCTGCACTCGTCTTCCCAGGCATTTTCCTGCAGGAACGTTCTCTCCTCCGCCGATAGGACGTTTCCATCTGGACCGTAGAGCACGGGCTCGTCGGTTTGCTGCGGAGTGTTCGAAGAACGATCGGGATCGAGGGGCACGGGCACGTGAGGTGCGACCACGCGACCCCAGTTGCAGTTCCGGAGCTCGCGCACGCCCTGGACCATACGACTCACGTGTTGATCAACGTGTCCCTGGATCACTAGCTCGGTCAGTGCGTGCATCACGCGCTCCATTTCCCCGCGACTCCCGGTACTGTCTCTTTCCAAAGTCTGGCCAGCCAGCTGAAAGACGGCGAATGCCGGTCATTTCCGGTATCCGAGTCGCGTAGGCCGTAATCCGACCGGTTCGCACATACCTTTAATGCCTGACAGATGTGCTTGGCAGAGTTGGGAGCAGGTCTCTTCAAAACCACGGAAATCAGCATGATCAGCAATTTCCCGAGGACTAGAGCAGAGGACGATTCCATCTGAGCGACTAACTCGGCCAGGAATAAAATCAAGCCATGACACTTCTTTTCACTTTCTTCGCTGTCTTCGCTTCTCTGCACCCAAGCCAAAGCCTGCGACTCGGTCTCTTCGTGACATCTGTTAAAAATATAAATATTAAGAAATTTTATTAGGCACGGCGGTAAAGCTTACTTGAAACTGACTTACCGAGCATACAGGGTTTCTCTGAAAACCGAAGTGGCTCGATCATTAGATGATGTCACTGTATCTAAATGCGTGCACAACCTGGCTCCACTGTATCGGAAGTTGCCCTCTGTTATGGACTAAAATCGTTCATCAAGATTAATATGGTGTGAGACGTTATTAAAAGTACCCGACTACTTACCTGCTGAAGAATCGCAGAGACGATCTGATGACAAGGACTCTGTCGATCGAGATAAGGACTGACGATATCAACCAGTGGGGCAACCAACAGGTCAAAACGACCAGGACATGCTGTAAGATTGCGCATAGCACATTCGAGGCGCCGTATTGTACCAGTTAATCCTGTGCCTTGATCATTGCTTTCACTTCCTAGCACCTGTTAAAATGTCACAGTCACAGGAACTTTCATTTTCAAAGCAGTGAACTCGAGTCCTCTACCAAATATTAATGTTTAAAAACCTGCTGTTGCTCGCGGAAATCTCCAGCTCCTCCATCGGAGTTTCCATAATCTGGTTCATGCGTACGTTGACCATATCGAGGATACCGAGAGGTATCTACGTACTGTTGGTACTGCATATGCTGTTGTTGTTGATGCTGCATTAAAGCATACTGTTGGTGCGTTTGCTGACGCGAACCATAAATTTGCTGTTGAGTCTGCCGCTGACGATGATCCTGCCGATCGTTTTGAGGTTGCCTCGCAAGACGATTTTGGACGGAAGGTCGTGGGACGTAAACTGGAGCATTCTGCATCTAAACGAAATGGCAAACGTAATTAAGAACGATAGAAATGTTTATCTACAAAAAATTGAAAAGTAGCATAGATGACTCACCAGAGGTTGAACCTGTACAACTTGACTTTTTGGAACAAATTCAGCAGCATCGGCGGAAAGCCTTGAATTTTTTACTACCTCATTTATAGACTCCTTGTTTTGCGGTTTACTGGAATCTGTAATTTATAAAATCCTTGGAGATGCAAAACGGATAACAGTATGTTAATAAAGGAGGGGCCGGTATGTAAAAGAAAAAATGTAAAAATAAGTCCAAATGGAAACGATCAACTAACCTGGTCCATGGTTCTCGGAGGTAGAATTACGTGGCCGTCGTAAAGCGAATCGTTGCCCTGAGTTATTTAGTGGATTCCAAGATCCTCTTCCGCGCCCTCGATCGACTGTACCATCTCCGCCGCCACCGCTGCCTTCCGCACTGTTCGAATCCATCCCGAGACCCCTTTAAATTCTCGAACCGTTAAACTTATCCAAATATCCAGAATTCCAAGCCAAGTGTTCCTCGAGGTCCCGTGCAATCCGTCGACATAAATTCGCGCGATTTCTTATGCACGCCAGCACGCGACCGCTGCTTCGATTTCGAATCTACTTCGATACCAGGCCGTATCTGACTGAAATTAAATATGGAACCGCCGGCGCTAATAGATCAAGAAAGAAGCCGCTTAAAATGTCCCTCGCCTCACTCCATAATATTCCGATGTCCCGAATACCTCGTATCCTGAATTCCAGAATTCCTGAGAAATCTGGGGTACGGGGATGGCTGATGCACCCAATTACCCTGGGGACGTCTATGCACAACCGACATTCGCTTAGGCTATATTCAGCTACTTTCTGCACGAATCGAGTCGAAGAACTTGCTGGAGAGAGAAGATATTATACCGGACTCTTGTCGCTCTCTATCGCGCACCGATGGATACAAGATCAGGTTAGGTCGATTAACAAATTGGCGAGTGTCAGACGAAAACGGAAAGCCCTGTTGCGACTCTCTCTCTTTGCACAAAAACTTGCTTAGCAGTTGAATTAAGCAGCAGGTGCCGATCATTATTCTAGCATTCTCTTATTCCACCCGTTATATATCAACTGTCCAATTGCTTCACAGGTTACAACGGAAACAACCAATGGAATACGTTATCAGCGATGAGAAATAAATGAAATAATACGATTGCCAATAGTTCTTGACTGATTAATACTTAGCGTAACTGCAAAACTATCATCCACTGGTATATATTGACGAATTGTGAAAGTTGTGTAAAAAATATCCACCTTTGCGTGTGATTTGGTTTCCATTTGCGAAAAAGTAGAATGCATCGTTGTTATTGGTCATTCCGTTAGATCGGCCGGCGGATCCAGAGGAATTACCAATCACAGTGCGACATTCTACACGACAGCAGGTATTTAAACCAAATCGTTGTCCTGCAAAGAATTATAGATGTATTCCGAAATCCACAGAAACTGGATTTTGAAATGATTTTATCTTTATCTTGTCTATATCTCTAATGAAATTTCGTATATATCTACCTTACATATTTGCGACATCGAAATACCGATTATATTCTATGTGGAGTATAGCACGCACATGGGTGAGAACCTACACACGTTTATCGCCGAAATGTAACGAACTGCTTTGAGTTTAAATTTGTATTGTTCAGTTTGCGAATTTGCCAAGGTAAATACGCGCTTCAAGTTTGATGATGATAAAAAAATAACTACAAAAACTGTTCAAAGTAATTTAAACGTATTTTCATCATCAAGTTAAACCGTTCAGTCGATATTCGAGTCTCCTCAAAATATTAGTGTAAAAGTGTATTAACATTTAAGTTCAGGTATGTCAAGAGTGTCAACGATTATGCGCAAAGTTCCGTCTATTTTTGTCACAGTTTGTTGCAAAAAACTAGTTCCCCTTTTCTTCTGATTACTGTCTTTAATTTAAAGTAATAAGGAACAGAAGAGAACTACAAAACAGTATCTTTTTATTACACCGTTGTTATTCTGTGGTCTAAACAAAGCAGAGCATGCATATTATCATACTAACAAATCTGAAAATTCAATGACTACACTAAAATAAAGCCTCATACAATTAAATATTTTTATTTCTACTTGCAGAGTCATCCTTTATCTAAAAAAAATGAAACTCACAACATTGTTGATTATATCCACCCTTCAGTTGTGGCATGCTGAAGCGTCGTTATTTGATTGGATTTGGAATAATTCACCACGTGAATCGACTGCGTTAATTGCCGATGGAGTACCTCTTATTGCAATTCCATATGAATCGGCAACAGAGGATGAAAAATTTCTTCAGGAAGCTGCGAAACTTACCGAAATTCGAGTGTCTTCGGCTTTGGAGTCATGTCAGCACAAAGTAATCATACAGATACAATCATGTGCACAAATGTCCGAAGAAGAACTTGGCAAATTAAGTGTCAATTTACTTAATTGTCAATCTGCAGTTGAAGGGAGAAAAATGTTCCCTTGCACAGCAGAAATGGTTTGTAATTCATTATTATTGATACCTTTACTGAACTTTTTATTGAACTAGTTCATTTTTAAAAGAACTTCCAACTGTTTAAATTATATTTTAATTGACATTTAAAACATAATTGCGTTTCGTTCTTCCTTCTGGAAGTTCAAATACCTTATGAGGATATAGAGGCAACAGCCATTCTAACGTGTTAAAACTTGCAACCTCCCCTATCTTTTTTCCCCCACCCTTTCTTACAGGCTCCAATGTACATACATACATTTAATTCTCTCTAACTCTAGCAATTTACTCAGCTTTTTTCAGTTATTGCTAATCAATGCAGCAGTTTGTGAAAATGATTATATTAACTTCAATTATAATGCATAAGTAACAAAAAGTTAAATTAATTGTGGCATTGACCATTTTCCCAAGGTAAAAATGAAAACATTTTGCTTTGCAGTCTTTGAAACAATGTACGACAGATATGGATGCAGATACATGGAATGCGTATCACTTGATGAGCAACCGAGCTAGAGCAGTGTGTTATGCTGCTCGCAACATGCAATTTCGAGCATTAACAGAATTAACTGTTAATAAACTTATGAGTACTACGCATTCACAAATTAAAACATTGTCATCCCTTAAGGTAAATGCTATTGAAAATCATAGAGAATGCATACTTAAATGACGATCCTGAATGATAAGCATGATATATGATTCACATCCTGAAATTAAAAATTAACTTTATTATTGCTGATGTATGTAGAATTCTACATAAAATGTATATTGTTATATGTAAAACTAAGTTTATATACTGAAAATGACTGAATAGTAATGCTTAATGTAATCTAAGGAAAGTCAAGAGCGCATGGAAGAGAGGACCATGGATGCTTTATCTTCATTAACAAAAGGAAATGAGGCTTTACTACAACAACAGGAACATCTTAAGAATGCCCAAATTTCTGCACACCAGCTGGTCACTACAAATCTGAGACAACTGTACGATGAAAAGGCACTTATTCGTTCAGGTCATGCGCAACTTGCATCCATGACAGAGGATATAAAACAAAGATTAGGTAATTTAATGATAATTAAAACAAATTTTTCTCGATAACTAAATATCTTTTTTTTTCTTTCAGAGAAAGCAAATCAAGATATCATAATACAGACTAATGAGCTGGATGAAAATCATAAAACCGTACTTCAGGATCTCGTAGATATCCAAAGTCGAATACAGCTTATATGGGACAAAATAGAGTCAAGCACAGATCGAATTATATCACAGAATACCGAAGCCATTGATAGATATGAAAAGACACTGGAAAAACTTGTCCAAATCAATGAAACTGTTAATTTTATCTGGGATATTACTAATAGAATGCACAGTGAAATAGATCAGAAGCTTGGTTGGATCACAGATTACATTGGTGACACTGGTTTGTTGAAACATTATAACCTTGCAGAACTCGATTATAAACTGCAAGTAGATTTCATGTACGATGCAGGACATTACAATAATGATTAATTACATATGTTAATATCCTATCATCACTGTACACATTGTTGTTATATAAATAACCTCATTACTAATATACGTATTTTCATAGGTGAGCAGATGCACAGAGCTTTTCGCATCGTTTTACACATCATTTATATATTATTAGCCATGGTGGTCGCTGCCTTTCTGCATGCTCCTTTTTTAACGAGAGCCACTATAATGGGAATCGTCCCATTAAATCTGGTGACATATCTAAAACATGGATCGGATGCCTCACTTGACTTTCTCTCCATTACAGCATTGATCTTTCTAATAACAATAAGTAAGTACTTGTACTAAAAAAGCAATCTATCGAAAACTCATTCAATTATTGGTTTCAGTGCATTTTGTGACAGTTGGAATACAGTACATTTTCGGAAATAACCGAAAAAATACGCAATTAGCTAATCCTATACAAAATGGGCATTCCACAACTTTCACCAAGGTTCCTAATCATAGCTCCATAACGAGTATTAGTTTGCTACGTGTTAGAATTCTTACAATGGCGCTAAATAGTTGGAACATTATTGTGCAGTATTTCAACCTTTCTGGAGGTAAAATTAAAAGAAACAAACGAAAAAATGGTAGAAACTCTTATTATACAAGTAATTTAAAATTACAGAAAAGATTATGGCTTGTATTCAATCAGCCTTTTCGTGGTGTCGGAGGGATAGGAGGGCATCTGAAAAAATGACCTGTTCATATGTGCACTCGAGTAAGGCACACCGAAATACTGGGAACTTCAGCCCTAGTTTTGTGATATCAGAAGATAGTGATGATGGCGACGTTTTCAATGACCCCTACGATAAATTTGACGATATCGATCAGCTCGAAGATGCAGCCGAATTAAGACGACGAATTCAACGAAACTCCCGTCAATCGTCCACAACCAGAAGGTACACTTTTAAGAATAATTACAAGCGTTGATGAAAAATGCACATTTATATTTCTATACTCTGTTCTTCGCTGAATTCACAAACATATGCTAGATATGATTGATATGATGAGATTTCATTGTTTCAGTATTGCCACGTCCAACTTAGTAGCCCCTAGAGCGTTGTGCGGAGCTATCACAAGAGCTGGAAAGCCATGTCGCCTATTCGTTGTACAAGGGATGAATTATTGTAACCGACACACTCAGGGCTCATCCTTTATTAACGATTAAGTTTGTGCTTCGATGTAAACATTTTTTTATATTTAAAATGATCATAAAACATGTTACGGTTATATCTCTATTTCGCGGTGACACTAATGATGCCATCAAGGATCATTTTTTAAAGAATATCAGATAGTGATATTTAATTATTGAATAAGACCACGTCACTCTTGTCTATTCAATGTTTAATATCAAAATATTCAATTTACAAATCGATTCTTCCCTTGAAATAAAAAATAGCCATTTGTTGCAAGGGAAACATATAGCGGCATCATTGGTACCTTAAAAAAATCAATTTCTATTGGTTTTAATCAGAAAGTGAAATTGCGTTGCAGGTAAAAAATGTTTAATTATATCACTTACGTGAATAGTATTTTAGATCGTACAAATGTGTCTGTTTTATTGTTTGTTTATTTTAACTTATGGTGTTCTCCGAAATTTCAATCTTCGTATCAGATGTAATTAATTTCTCTATATTTTTGTACTTATAAATATATGTATATTATAAATACGAATTTGTCACGTCGAAGGCCAAGTTATAGATAAGTGCTCTTACATGGTCAATGAAATTTATTAAAACGACTTGGAATATAACTAATTTGTAACTGGCTAATAATCACGAGCGCCGTTGCCGCTCTGGCTGTAAGCGAATTCGATAGTTAGGAATGTTAAATTATTATTATTAAACTATAGTATACGATACATAAACCCTTTGTATTTATAATAAGTTACGTTAATTGTCAAATTCACGGTATAACTATAAATATAAGAAACAGGAATTGATTAGGGCTCGTGATATGCAGTATTGTAAATACATAATATAGACGTGAGACGATATTAAATAACATAGATCGGAGACGGCGTTATCAGTCTCACCACAATGGACAGATTGTAAATGAATTTCTCACTCGTGTCTCCACCGAATAATTTAATTTATTATATAAAAGAGATGCGTGTTGCCTCGCAAAGGATTGAATCACGAATAATTTCGAACAAATTTTGCATGCAACCTGAATGAATAAAGAAATTATACGACTTTTGATACCACGATGAATGATAACGATGAAGATGATATTAATGATTGAATCCTTATGTGCCTGTGGAGAGTCACAAATACCATGTATCCAAACCATTAGATACAGTCTCAAATCATTGAAAAATTTCATTCCATGCGCCCATTCTTTATATTCCGACATGAGGGAAGCGTACATGCAAATGTCGTTGCAAAGTTAAGTCAATTTAAAAGCATTCATCGAGTCGTAAAAGCGAAAAGATTCGTAAATGCGTCCCCGCCTCTCACCGGCCCGTCCAAAACTGCGACTCTCCGAGTTTTCTACGCTTTCTCACGCGTTTTAACGAGGAAGCCGGCAATGCGTGTTATTCCAAGCGGTATCCCGGCCAGGGATAAATAAACGAACCCCTCGAAAAGCAAACCCAGAAGCTGGCTCTGTATCGAGTTTCCCCGCGGTCGTTTCACCGGCCTAGAGGGCTCTCTCCAACGGGCCGAGAAAAGAAGAGGAGATAGTGGCTCGCTCGCGGATCGTCAAGCGGCCCGTGTCGGGCACCTTTTGCATGCCTCGAAAAATCGCTTAACCCGTCGAGATGAAAAAGAAGAGGAGGAAGCGTCGTTCCTCGGCAGGCCGGGATGCCTCCGACGTCGTAGCGGAGTCAAAATCCAACGGGTGCGAGGGGAGGCTCGACAACGAGACGATTTATATCCAACGCCCCCACCTTCGTTACTCTCGTCTTGTCTTTGCTGCTCTTTACTTCCCACGGACTACGAGCGAGCTTCCTTCGCCCCCTTTCTTTCTTTTCCTTCTGGTTTTTTATCCCACCCCTCCCCTCGACCTCGACGACGACGACTCTTGGAGGGAAACCTCTACCCGGGAGAGATCTCGTTCGCCCCTGAAAATCAAGAGCTCTTAGCCGCCAGTTTTATACAATTTGTAATATTAATTATCTCTACTATAACTGTTAAGGTGATGTCAAAGTGACACCAGCGAGGTCTCGTTTATAAAACATTTCTGCGAACTGGGTGCACCAAATAATTTGAAACTTCGGCACGTGATTATGAAGGCTCTAAGAAAGAACGCGATCCTCGTGAAATTTCATTTTTCGACAAAAAAATGTTTTTATTTATCCTAAACTAGAACCGAGATCACATTTTCTTTTTTTTTGTGGTAAATGAACTTTCACGAGCATTGCGTCCTTCCTTCGGACCTTCATAATCACGTGTTAAAGGTTTAAATAATTCGGTGCACCCAGTTTGGAGAAAAGTTAGGTATATAAATATTTCATTCATTTTCATATATATATAATGACCCTTTCATATCCCCTTAATCCTTTCAGCACTATGGGCCTATAAGTGCATCCGACGTTTGGTCCAATATTGCTTGTACGCACTAATAAAATTCGCCCATACGCTGAAAGGGTTAAGCCGCGACTCTCGTTGGGAAATCTCGTAGGAAAAGGAAGTTCACGCCAATATCCCTGTTCTCGATGACGCGAACGACTGCAAAACCTCTCGGGGTTTCGGCAAAGTTGGGAAAGAGGCCGCGAAGAGTGTGGAAAAAGGGAGCCAAATGGAATCGGTTCCGCGAACGGGGGTCAGCCCCGTGAATGAAGACAGTGTTCGAGTAGGTTGTCCAGGGTCAGGTCGTGGCCGACTCGACCGGAGATACCGCGTTGTCGCCGCCTAAATTTCCTCCTTCGCGACTGGTCATCCTTTGGCTCGCGCCGCCCGATAAGACAGGATGTAGAATGCCTCTTTATCCCTAGAGCGAATTCCAGCTGAGTCGGCGCCTCTCGGAGACGAGGCATCTCCGCGGAAATAAAAATCAAACGTTACCGTTAACCCAATTTCGGTAACTCAGGAGCACACTTGAACACAAGGTCAGTAGTTCAGTAAAATTTCTCTTCCCATGTTACTTTCCTTCCGGAAGCATCGCACAGAGAGAAAAAAGTTGTTATAATTACTACAATTGGGATAGATATAACTGCAATCGCTGGTAAATATAAGGACAGCGGTTCTACGAAGTAATGATTGCTCTGCTAAAAATGTCAAATGTACAATTTCATTGTAGTACACATTATTACAAAGAATGATTACAGTTACAACGATACGACAGTTATATTTACAATCGTGCCAGCATAAATTCGTCAACTGAAGCAATAGTTACCACATAACATGTGTATATAACGTTCGCTAGTGTACCGTTTACTGTTGATACATGTAGAAAGTAACACGCAGCAACGCATATATTACTGTGGAAAACGGTAAATATCTGTTTCATGTAAAGTTTACATAAGACAGATATAAGTTACAATATTATTTTTCTGCGCGTGCGGGTACAACCTACCGAAAAATAAAAAGGAATGGTATATTATATAATTAATCATGCTATCAATGACATCCCATCAGACAAAGTTACGTAACAATAATATCGCCGTTACATAAGGTTTGTAACATATAATGTAACATACATATACCATGTAAGCTTCATATTATGTAACTACTATGCTGACAAGTTCGTAACAGTACTACCAAACGGTAATAATTTATCCTTATATAATATCAATCTATCTTTCGAATAACTTTCGTTATATACCATGTTATTCCAGTGTTATGTAACAAACATATGGTGCTTGGTGGGTAGAATTTTACCATCTTATGTCACTTTATCCCTTACACTCACGAGTCTCTTATCTTCCATCAATGCACGCGTATAATATAGGTGTAATGAAAAAAGATATCTATTCACTGTTATAGATTCACCGTCGTACGTATACTGGCAAACTGGACAGGAAACAACGAAGTGCTGCGTCTGCAATCATTGATACGAAGCTGAATAATTACGGATTATTATAATAGGTTAGATAATCCCTTTCCTCGTGTACTGTTTTTTTTTTTGTATACTGTCCTTTTTCACGTTCCAAAGCTTGTCCTCCGTGACTCTGGGCAAGAAATCGAACTTTCCACTCAGTCCGGACGTCATGGAGGGACAAAAACGCACGGTCCCTCCGTCGGTATTCCGCATCCACCGTCGGGACGTCTCCTGCGAAGGGAGCGACGTCGACGGCGATGAGAGACGGTCTTCGAACCGGATTTCGCGCCGACAGCTGCCTACGCGACCGGCGTCGCGTCCCTCTCCGACGCCCGTGAGCGCCCGCGAATGCGCCTCTAAAAAGAGACGCTCAAATTAAATGTAGATTTATATGGTACTTCGAATTTTACTCGGCCAGGGCGACAGATAAATTGCAAACGGGGAAACTTGCAGGGGTAACATCCGGCACCGACGATCTGCTATCAAATAAAAGAGAACAATATCAAGCGACCCAAGCGAAGTGAAATATTTCAAATTGCATATCCCTGTATTAAATGTACCAATCGGTTTCGTTTGAATTTTACTCGCCCAGGACGACAGATAAATTGCAAACGGGGAAACTTGCAGGGGTAACATCCGGCACCGACGATCTGCTATCAAATAAAAGAGAACAATATCAAGCGACCCAAGCGAAGTGAAATATTTCAAATTGCATATCCCTGTATTAAATGTACCAATTGGTTTCGTTCGTAGCTTAAAATACACAGAATAATAGTCCAGTATCGGTGGTCTGGTTATAGTTGACGTTACTCATTCAAGAGGTTCGGAAAACGACATTGTACAGTTTGACACGCCATACGCAGAAAAATAATATTGTAATCATTACATATGCTCGCGGGTCAAAGTATTGGTGTGACCTTAACAACAATTATTGTAGATGTAATTACTATTTTTTGTCCTCAGTTATAGTTGGTATTACCATTCCAAAAGGTAATCAACCGTGCAATTATTTAGCGCAACGTGAATCCAACAAGTATTGACAAGGTTAGATTCACCATTCGATGTGCTCAATCTCATCCCTAGTTTGGTTCCTATTACAACAATATTTTAAGTATGTTACTATAGTAATTGTAACCAAATTATTTATTCCGCGTGGGTGCACCAAATTTGAAACTTTACCACGCGAATGTGAAGGCCCCGAGGAAGGTCCTGATATTCATGAAATTTCATTTTTTTTTTACATATATAAGGTTAAAAGATTGTTTACGAAGAGATATTAAAATATGAAACTTCACGGGCTTTAGGACCTTCTTTGGAAGCTCCACATTTACGAGGTAAAGTCTCAAGTGATTCGGTACACCCAGTTTGCCAGAAAAGTTTCGTAAACGATACCTCCAGGCGTCACTTTCATATTACTTTAACCCTAGCAGCGTAGAATAATTTCTAAATATTTCTTTGTAATCTTTGCTAAATATCTCAAGCAACAGATTTTTTATGATTTTTAGTAGATTTCATACAAAGATATTTGAAATATTTCTTGAAAATCTCAATGACATATTTAGTTTCAATCATTTATAAACATATAAAGAAATTATATTTTTTAACCTATGAACATAATAAAAATACATTATTTACTTCACGACTATTATCGGACACTTCATTTGGTATCAAAAAACACGAGAAATTTTTCTAATATTTTCGTTCCGCTATTTCATTATGGGAGCAAAACGTGTGATTTTTATATTAAATATTTTTAAAACGTTTATAATGCATTCGGCAGATAATATTTAAAAAAATACTTGTATTAAAATGAAACGAAATGTTAAGTATATCTGATAGAAAAGTATTATGAAAACACATGGAGCTAATATTGTACAAATAGTACAGAGATAATATTCTAAAGTCAACGTTTTGCAAATATGTCAAATGTCTGGTAAATATTTACAAAATCTACGATATTCGTTAAATATATAGAAAATATAGGACAAATATTTTGTGCTACTAGGGAAGAGGCATGAAATACTACAATAATTATCCTTACTTGATGAACTTTGTAATTGGTATACATACCATGAAAAAACTAATGAAACTAGGATAATTTCGAGTCTTCTTTTGCTTCCTTTCTTTCTTCTCCTTCTTGGAAGGAAATTTGTCTAGCGTAATATCGGGAAAGGGGGAAAAAGGAAGGGAACACTCTGGCGGCGCCACCGAAGTTTATAGAGATCC